TTTTTTTAGTAAAACCAAGTATGGATTCTAACAAATTCAAAATGAGAAATATCCACCCTTGGATTACGTGGTAACCAGATCTGGTTTGTTAGTAAAACCAAGTATGGATTCTAATCAATCCAATCATGCAAATAATGAAAAGCTGTACTACCTTGTGTTTAATAAAATACAACAGGGTTTCACTCACTTTGTGTTATTTATTACATGTACTTAGCTATTCTATCTCTCTCCAGCCATTTCCAAGCCAATCTCCTTCCATGATAGACAATATGCTTGAAAAATGAATAGTTTGCTTCAAGGAAGGCCTCTCTTTCACCCACAACTTATTATGATTAAAATTGCTATGCTTTACATAGAAATATCCTGCAATTGACTTTCTACGATAATCTACATTAACAACTTCAGCTTAATCATCATTAGATGATGATTAATATTTGACTGAGAAACAAATTAAAGTGAAAATACTTACCGATATATGCAATGTTTCTGGGATCACCTCTGACATATTTTGGCTTATGCAAAAACCTTCTTGAACATCTTGCACAATATAATTCTTTGATATATCCATCTGATTGTTCAGGGCTCTGTAATATATTGTCTGCACTAATAATCCCTTGACATTCACATCTTGCTGGTAGACACCAAGACTTTGCGGGATYCCAGAACCATGAAAGCTCAGCAAATCTACTCCCATCCCAAACTTCTTTTTTAACATTTCTGCTAGATCTATCAGGTTGCCCATGTATCCATTTCTCTTTCTCAGACCAATGGCTGGTCATTTTGGTACACATCTCAGGATTTGAAGTCYATTGTTTTACTTTAGTTTCCAATAATAACTAATTGTTCCTTCTTGATTACAGCGTCTGCATYTCTGACTTGCTGATGACATAATGTCCCAATGTTGTTTGTGACTTTCATTTAGACAGATGAAGTATTGCTTAGCATCAACATAACCAACAGCTGAAMGTTTTTGCCTTGCTTCCTCCCAAGAGTTAGGCCAAATTTCTTTGATTTGAGGGTCATGCTCATCAATATCCTTCCCTCTACAGTACACACAACGTGCATAACAAAGAAGATCTTCAAATTTTGTTAATGAAGAACCGCATTCCAAACTTAATTCAATAGCTTCAAATATACTCTTTACAATGTCRTAGTGGAGTTTTTGGTCACCATTATTCATATTATTTTCACTGCTCGCATCCAGCTCTTGATTATCACAAGTGATATTTACAGATTCTATGCTACGTAGCTCACCAGAATCAAGTTCCATATTAACCTGGATTTCTGCTGCTTCATGCTGTCCACATTCCATAATTGCTGTTTGAGCCATGTCCATCTCTACATCACYAATTGTTTCCCCTTTAATGAATCATAAAGATAAGTTATTTACAAACATATAGTTTGAGTCGAGCTTGGATTTCTAGGAATATATAAATATCTATAGTTTACTTAATTCTTTATTTACCAAAATATGCCAATTTGATAGATAATAATTAGGTTTTGGTTTGTAGTTTGCCATACTACTAGCCGACTTCACACTCCTGAAAAGCTCAGTTTTAGAGGTAAATATCATGCAAGGTAAATACTTTTTGTATGTGAACGAAAAATTCATGAAATAATGGTTTTGCCTTTAGTTTACTTCTAGCCGTTTAA